TGGTTTCCTTATGGCTGACAAGAGGAAACCTGCTGCATCAGGGTTTCACTTGGAAAATTTAGCTTTAGTCAGCTTCAACTCTCCCCATGGTTTTTGTTAGTTGTTAAAAGTGTCAGCATAACCGTAACCATAACTGTTAACAACATAACACGTGCTGATTTACTATACTAATACACTTTTCTAATGTTAGGAACATTAGGAAATGCACTAACATTGATACGGTGATACTTAAATTTGTGTTTTACAGAGTAGTTATACCAAAGTCATGTGCTTTGGTATAACTACCCTGAGTCATGGTATTAATGTGGTGCAATCAGTCTTTCAGAAAACGCAGCTAAATGCAATACACTAAGTTAAGTCTGTAGTTACTTGAGATACAGTTAGCTTCAGTTTATGCTCCATTTAAAACAATAGCAACATACTGTCAGATGTCAAAATCAAATCCACTGTCATTGTGTTGGATAAAAAGACAGGAAAAAAAAGCAAACAGCTGCAGGGCGATAATGAGTTAACTTGGAAAGTATTTCAGTGCTCGACAGCGTGAGGAGGGCAAGTGGAGCCGGAGCTGTTCCTCTCTGGGTGACAGACACATTTCTAGGGCTAGCAAACTAAATGTTTTAGGTGTCTGATATCCTCTGTTTTCATTAAGCATTTTTAAAATCGGCTTCCTATGTTCAGGTTCAGTGTTCACCTCAAGTTAGTGAGGCATAGGTTAGTGATTGCAAAATTACTAAAAATACAACTGAAGTCATTAAAAATCATGAAAGCAGAGTTCAGCATGAAACAAGGATCAGCGGTAACCACACAATGCAACTGTAATAGAATAAACAATGATAAAGACAAAACAAACTACACTGTGCATAGTGTTCAAAATGAAGATAAACATAAAAATGTGATCAACAAAAAAGAATAAACAACTGTGGTAAGAGTATATTGTTGTCATGTCAAGTACATTAAGATAAAAACTGGTGTGTGAAGTTGGCAAACAACATTATGACAAACAGTCTGAGCAGACTGATAAATGGGACCTGACCGGTTTGAATGTCACATGATGTGATTTGTCTTCTGATTAATGCTGTCAACACAGTGGCTTTTGATGACAAAGGGAAATGACATTTGAAGGTTTCTGCCAGGAAACTCTGCTTTCGAGGACACCGTCGAGTGTGGGATTTAGCTAGGTTTGAAGCAGAAGCATTTCATTATCCTTTAGTTCTCACCAAGAGCTTTCGCAAATGATATCAAGGAAGGAGGTGGCATTTAGAGGCTGAAGTCTTTAAAAGCTCTTTGTATTGTAAACACAGCTGTAACGTTGGCAGGGGGGGAAGCCAGTGATTCTTTTCCTATTCACTGCTGCTACATTTTACAGCACGCTTAAGCTGAAATGAATTGATGTGACTGCTGAAGCTTTATAGCTTAAAATGATGTAGGTTAAACAGCAGCCACCACTTCTTTTTCTAGTAGTGATACCGGCCTGGAGGCACGTTTAACGGGTGGGGTTAGTCATGAGGGCCCTCTCTGAGTTAGTCACTTTGAAGCACTTTGAACTAATTGTGAGCTAAAAACCACTGGGAGGAGGGTGCTATAGGCTCCAGATTCTCAATAACAATATTTCTGATGATACAGAAAAATGCTACTTGTATTCAGCCGCATTTATAAGTTTAAGTAAATCCTCCTTTTCCAGTTAGCTGCTGCCATTAGTGGCAGTCAGCAGCTGCACAATATTGTTAGTGATTTAAAAAAAAATTCCACCTGGGATGTTGGATCTTGGGTTGAACTTTTTGTTTTTTTATCCAGCTGCTTAAAGCCCAGCGTTCCCACCGTCTAACCTAATCAGTAATTTCCTCTTCCTGTCATATGGAGTTAATTTGTTTGCTTTTAGACTGCACAACACCAACTGCTAGTATCTCCTCCTTCATAGTCTGGTTGTACTTGATCGTGTTTTTGTGGTTTCCACTTTTAGCAGGAACCGTTTTCTTGCATATTCTGCAAAGCGTTGTGCTTTGTTTGAGGCTGTTTCAGGTACTAAACCGTCATCAGAGACGAACACAGGATTGTGTCATTGTTTCCTTAGAGGAGAAGGCGAATTAATGCAGTTATTGGGCAGTTGAATTGATGAGTATTAATACTGACTCCATCCATAATAATGTTTCACAAAAGGGCCCATTTCTTTTCTGAAGCCAGTGTAGTTAACTCTACATCTGCCCATTTATCTTTGTATGACTGTCACTAGACTCATCAAAGAGCCACAGTCACTCCCATCCCACGGTCACTCACAGTGCTGTGGGCCCTATGTATGCCATGGGCACGCCTATCCCTCCACACCACCACCAAGGCAGCGACGGTACGACAGAGAAGAAGAAGAAGGAGGACAAAGATCGAGACAAGCACGAGAAGGATAAAGATAAGGTGAGATAGTATTTAGTTACATTTCTCGTTCTTTGTAAGTAAATGTTAATGATGTGCTTAATTGTTGTTGTTGTTTTTCTGTCATCAAGCCCAAGAAGAAAAACACAACAGCGTATCAGGTGTTCTGTAAGGAGTACAGGGTAAACATAAATGCAGAACAGCCGGGACTAGGTGAGAAAAACTTTGAAATACAATATAATTTGTGATGAAGCACTTTAAATCTAACGGTAAGAAAAAAACATATAAACTGAATGGGTTTGCATATAATCTGCAGTGTTTGGCGAACTGAGTAAAAAATTGGCAGAGGTTTGGAAGGCGATGCCTGAAAAGGACAAGCTGGTAAGTTTTTGTCTTTTGCTATAATCCAGTGTGGCTTACATGCCTTTAAGTGCTGGTGGTGTGCTTCATGTGTATGTTTTTCTGTAGGTTTGGAGGCAGAAAGCTCAGTATTTGCAGCACAAACAAAACAAAGCTGAAGCCACAACGGTCAAACACAAGACGTCCAGCGAGACCAAAAGCAAAGGTATATTTGACTGTGAGCGCGGTGGTTTTTTAGTCCACTCACTGTTGGATCTTTGCTGCCGTCTGTAAGTGCCGTTTTCTCTGTAAAGTTGCAGGGTCATCGACAGGAGTGGTGTCTCCAACCAGAGCGCCTGGCACCATGTCCCTGTCCCCGGCTCGAGTCCCAGATGTCGATCCCATCGATGCAGCGGCTCACCTGCAGCTGCTGGGAGAGTCTCTGTCCCTAATTGGACATCGGCTCCAGGAAACAGAGGTGAGTTTTAAATGTGCACACCTATAAAAGCTTTTATCTAGAAATGAAAGCATAAATGCAAAGTTTTAAATTGAATTCGTTAATGTGCAATGAAACCAGTAAGCCATGTTTTCTCGCACTAGGGGATGGTGGCTGTATCCGGGAGTTTGTCTGTTCTTCTGGACTCTATCTTGTGCGCGCTGGGCCCACTGACCTGTCTCACAGCACAGATACCACAGTTAAATGGATGTCCTCGAAACGTCCTGGTATTGTACCATCAGCTTTATTCAATTCTTCACAGTACTGTCAAACGTTTCTGCTTGTTTTTGATAACCGTTCACTGTATAATATGTAGTTTTTATCGCAGCCTGCTAACAAAGCTCTTGTCTCCTTCTGTCAGTCAAATACATTGGACAACATCGCCTACATCATGCCTGGACTTTGAGGAAAAGATGACTGGAAATCTGGGGGAAACACTTGACCGGGGAGCTTCTTTGGACTTTAATTTAAGCCTCGGCTTGGCATTTGAAAAATGTGGATATTTTTAGCATCGATGTGTTTTTAAAGTGTATTTTTTTAAGAACTTGTTTCTCTTAGATTTCTAATTGCTGTATTTTTAAATGGAACATTTCACTGAACATGTTAATCTTACAAGGCACGTCAGCTTGGTTTTACTGTTACTGTACAACTGTCTGTTTTGTGGATGGATGTAGTGGACTGAATGCGTGTGTGTTTGTGTATGCTTAGCTCTTCAGTGGCACGTTAATTGCGTGAGAGTTCAATACATGTCTACATATTGAACTTTTTTCTTTTTTACAGAAGTGTACAGAAACCTTTAAGTTCCCTGCTCATCACTGACATAATGTAATATATTTCACATCTGCTTAGTTGTTCTTTTATTCTGTATAAATGACTCATTTTATACATGTAATATTTTACTGTGTATATTACATGTGAAATCTTGATAGAATACACCTTTAGGTGTGACTTTGTTGTCGTGAAGAGCTGTTCCAACAATTCACCGCTGGCTTAAACTTGAACCATGTGGCAACATTAAAATGATCACTTCCCAGATTCAGCTAATATTTTTTAATGAATTCTGAGTGCCCATCCTCCCATGTTTATGTCAAATGTTGACCCTACCATTCAATTTTCACAGTAGAAATTGAGATTCGTCAGACCAGGTACCATCCACTATTCTCTGATTGTGGTGAACTGTAGCCTCAGTTTCTTTTTCATAACTGACAGGAGTGGCACCATGTGTGGTTTTCTGCTGCTGGAGCCCATCTGCTTCAAGGTTTGATGCGTTGTTTAGTTAGATCTTGTGCATACTGTGGCTGTAATTATTTCAATTACACTTAACAAAGTCACTGGATATTTTATTTTATTCAGACAACTCTGAATAAACCCTACAGATGTTTGTGTGGTAAAATCCCAGTATATCAGCAGTTTGAGACCAGGCCGTCTGGTACCAACATCCAGGCCATGTTCGAAGTCACTTTAATCACTTTTCTTCCATTCTGATGCTCAGTTTGAACTTCAGGAGGTCATATTGACCATGTCTGCATTTCTAAATGCACTGAGTATTGGCTGGTTAGATATTTGCATTAACAGCAGATGGATTGGTGCAGTTATAAATGGCTTATCTGTCTTATGAGTAAGAAGTCTATGCTCAAAAACCAACTGGTCATTTGATAAATAAAGTCATCCAGTTAAACTGAGTAAATTATTCCCCCTGGGTTAACAATTGTAAACTTCGGTGCCGACATCCATGCCCTGATGTGCGGATGGTGCCATCAACACTTCCCACAACAGATGGAGCTGTGTTCACCTCTGGCGGAGTGAACTTCAGTGTCAGAGGCAGGGCTGAGTCAGCCCGCAGGAATTCGGAAGTGTGTGTTTACGCCTTATTCAACGCTACATACGACAGCGAGCACGAACAGAAATGTCAGCATCTGCTACACAGTCAGGTAGGTTTGATAAATTGTCTCGCATGCGGCGTTTCGGGGGCAGAAACCATGAAATAAGAGAGGAAAGTTAGGGGCGCGGCTCCTCCACGGTCGGTTTACGGGAAGCAGCAGCTGCAAAGGGCGCAGCCAGCTGAGGTGCAACGCTTCAAAGCTCAATGTAGCAGACAAGCTTACGACACGCACACCCGGCAAACAGGGTGGGCCTTATCTCTGTAAACAACTCGCACGATAAAGAGCAGACAGCTTATACATGGCAGTCATTTTGGGCTATAAGTGAATTTAAAAACTCGGCCCCTTTAAAGTGAGCACACTTCAGTGTATGAAATAAGTGCAGCGTGTCATGAAAACGTTTTTTTCTCTCTCTTGTTGAGCAGAGGTGAGGCTGGTGGTGCTGGGCCGGAGTGGGGCAGGGAAGAAGACTGCAATATGCAAAATCCTCGGCCTGCAAGACTACCAGCAGGACACAGATGATGATGCTGTCCAGGAGTGCAGCAAACACAGAGGGGAAGTCGCGGGCAGACAGGTAACAATAACTGACGAGTATGGACTGTGGTCCTTTATAAGTTCACCTGCTTATTTCTGAAGTCTGCATGTTTCTTTTGTGCTTTTGAAAAATTATAGCCAGGTGTTTACAAAATACAATACCTTAAAATATGAGTATAAATGTCAATAAAAAAACTAAAACTTTATTATCTATTAATGTGTTAATTTCCCAAACAGTTAACATTAATATCGGAGTACCCCAGGGTTCAATTTTGGGTCCTCTGTTGTTTTATGTTTTTTTTTTTTTTGTTTGTTTTTTTTGGTTAACTTTTTTTTATAATGGTGGTTATTGAGACTCAGTGTCTCATTACACGAGAGGCCTGTTTCAGACAAAATTATTACAATTTAGTTTAAATATGATTTAGTTTTAAGTTTATTCTATAAAGTAATAATTGACCTACATTTAGTCAACCTACTGTAACCTGCCAGATGTATGTTCATAATATGATTATACAACAATCAGGCATAACATTATCACCACCTGCTTAATACTGTGTTGGTCCCCCTTTTGCTGCCAAAATGAGCCCTGACCCATTGAGGCACAGACTCCACTAGACCCCTGAAGGCGTGCTGAGGTATCTAGCATCAAAATGTGAAGGGGGGAGGGCTCTATTGATTGTTCTTCTTTGTCCAGCACATCTCACGGATGCTCGATTGGATTGAGATCTGGGGATTTTGAAGCCAAGTCAGCACCTCAAACTCATTGTGCTCCTGAAACCATTCCTGAACCATTTTTGGTTGGTGGTAGGGTCCATTATCCGGCTGAAAGAGGCCACAGCCATAAGTTAATACTGTTTCCATGAAAGGGTGTTCATGTACAAGAAAATGTGGTTTATCAGACTAGGCTACCTTCCTCCATTGCTCCATGGTCCAGTTCTGGTGCTCATGTGTGAAGCTTTTGGTGGTGGGCTGGAGTCAGCATGGACACCCTGACTGGTCTGCAGCTATACAGCTCCATACACAACAGACTGTGATGCTGTGTGTTCTGACACCTTTCTATCAGAACCAGCATTAACCTTTTCAGCAGTTTGAGCTGCAGTAGCTTGTCTGTCTGTCTCGGACCACACAGGCCAGCTTTTGCTCCTCAGGTGCATCCATGAGCCTGTCACTGGTTCATCACTGTACCTTCCTTGGACCATTTCAGACTGGGAACACCCTGCAAGAGCTGCAGTGTTGGAGATGCTCTGATGCAGTCATTTAGCAATCACAGTTTGGTCCATGTCAAACTTGCTAAAATCCTTACATTTGCCCGCTTTCCTTGTTCTAACACATCAACTCTGAGGACAAAATGTTCACTTGCATCCTTATATATCCCACCCACTAAAAACTGCCACGATCAAGGGATAGTCAGCGTTACTCACTTCACCTGACAGTGGTTAAAATGTTATGCCTGATTGGTTTACAGCTACATGCTAAAATCAAGGAGCAGGTTGCTGAAGAACTGTCAGCTACAGTGGTGAAGACGACAAACTGACCATCAAATTCATGTTTCTCTTGATGTTTGCCATAAACCTGCCATTGACTGCAGATGAAAATTAGCCTGTGTGGCATATTTACATGAAGGATTTAAGGGTTTGTGTTAATATATATAAATTGTCCCTTTGAAATAAACATATATGTTTAAAAACATATATACATGATAAATATTAAGGATCCATTTCTGGTTGTTTTGGCGACACCTGTGGTTACAATGGTTAATAACAGAAACATGTTTGTGTGAAAGAAAATGTAACTCCTAATAAATTCTCTCTCACGTGCAGCTGCTTATCGTGCAGATGGTAGATGCAGTCTGAATTTTGTCCAGTGGCATTTCCTGTAAACACCATCTTGCATGTCGACATCACTGAATCCTCTCAGCTGAAATGCAAGCTGATGTACTCAGACGCAACAATGAGCACAAATGCATTTAAAAGCCAGTTTGCAGTATTCATTTGAGTTTCTTACCTCACAGGAAAAAAGAAATGTGTGCTTAACCAACCAGGCACATTTAAATGATTAAGAAAACCCACAAAATTAAGCATGACTGGGTTTCAAAATTTTGCAAAAAAAAATAAGCAACTGTAAAACTCTCGGGGCGTATCTGCTCAAGGCTTTGGTTTACAGCGCTCGCACCAGCCAAAAGAAACTGAGCCAACAGACCTGGGTTTGTTTTAACGCGTTAGTTGTAAAACCATAGCCTTGTTATATATACTTTATGGTGTGAAATCTTGATGCACACTGATACTAAATATATTCATCACTTTGCAGCTGTTGCTCTCGTGTGGTCAACTATATATATATAAAAACAAACAAATGTGGTTAATAGGCTCAGTAATTCTACCATTAGCTTTCACACCAAAGCAAAAACAAACACCTGAATCTGCTGGGTGGTCAATGCAGTTAAATTTGTTTTACAGCCTCCAAGGAAGGCAAAGTGGACGATACTACTGTGAAATGCTTGCCTAGTGTAATTCTAATATAAGCAAACAAGGCAAGCTACATTTATTAGTGTGAAGGAACTGCTAACAATGGACAAGGACAGGAGGATGAAGGGGAGGGAGATTAAGATGTTATATACATAGGCTGTAAATAAAAGATGGATGTAGCCACTGTGGTTGTGACCCACATTTTTTAATCTTCATTTTTTAACATTAGGGTTTGGCTTCCACCAATGTTTTTTTTTTTCCGAGTCAGAAGTGACCGTATTAGGTCAAGATTGTGAATTTCTGTATCATAAGCTAATGCTAACTAGCTTGCATGCCAACCTGCGTCTGTAAACTGTATGAACAAACGCCTTGTAATAAACTAATAAAATACTCAAATTTTACTAACCAAACCTGGAGTGCACACTTCTCGAACGGGCTGTGCCACACAGAAATCTTTGTTATTTGTCAGAGAAGCTATTAAAAACAGGCCAAGGGGCCACAAACAAGAACTCAACTGACTAGCCTTAAAAAATTCAAATAGGTGGATTATACAAACATACAATTGTTATAAGGATGTAAATAAATGATTGAGACCAAAACTGTTTTAGCTGTAAATGTGTTATTTTCATTTCTGAGTCGAGTATTTTAACAGCAGAGGGTCGACTCGCTTTTGGAGCCAGCCTCAAGTAGTAATTCGAATTAGTTGTGTTTGAGCCCTGAGATTTGTTCCTTGGTTCCATAACTTTCAATGGTAACAGATTGATCCATAAATATGTGTTAAACTGGCTTCTGCAATTCAAATTCTGACATCCAAGAACGATTTACAGGTCAAAGCTAGCTAGCAAACTGCAGGTTGTAGTAACTTTCAGTGGATCAGCAGAACCACTGATGCTAACATGTAGTGGATTCTGTAAGGCTGTAATATTAGGGCTTGCTATAGAGTTCATGTATTATTAAGACAAGAGTAAGTCCTGAGCACACTTATAAATAAAGATGCAAAGGTATCTCAACAGTGCAGTCCAATATAGTTCAGTCTTTTCATATTTTTTCAGTGCTTTTGTTTCCAACATGAAAAATGTGTTCAGTAAATCTCTGAATTTACTGACTTTAATCCTTATAAAAGTGTAAATATCCATGAAATTTGTGAAGAAATTTTGGAATTGCCATGCACAAATAGACTGAACTTCATTCACGTAGTGAGTTCAGTTTAAGAATACCAAAATAAAAAAGAAACTTTGTAAATAACAGATATTTATTTACACAGGTACATTGTAATCAATTGTAATTGCGTTTTCTTTATGCTTCTGTCACGTCTCTGCAGGTGGTGATAATCTCTAGTCCAGCCTGGTACGGTTCAGGTTGCAACTCAGAGGAAAGAAGAAATTACATTTCCTCCTTCATTGCCTCATCCAGCCCTGGGCCACACGCCTTTCTGCTCTGTGTCCCAGCAAACCAGCCGGCTGATGAAGAGGCCAAGGCACTGGATGTCCTGAAGAAGCTCTTTGGTTCCTCTGCTGTAAGCAGAAATACCATCATACTCTTCACCCACACAGATGTGCTGGATGAGGACGAGCAGCTGGAAGAATACCTCGTCACATGGCGAAAGGACCTAATGGAGCTGGTGGAGAGATGCGGAGAGCGCTACCACACCCTGGAAGCCCGCAGTGGAGAACAAGATGGAAGGACTGCGGTGGAGGAGCTGCTGGAGAAAGTCGAGCAGGCAGTTATGAAGAGTGGGGGTTTACACTTTAGCTGCCCTCTGTACCAGGAGGCTGAGGAAAGGGTGAGAGAGAGGCAGGCAGAGATAGTGAGACAGAGAAGAGAGGAGCTGAATGACCAGGTGTCTCCCACAGACTCCCAACTGGAGAATGAGGAAGAATTGGAAGAGGTCCGGGAAGAAGCAGAGAGGAGCATAGGTGACCTGAATGTGGATGTAGATAGCATTTTCCCCTCTTCTGATGTTTCACCTTCCACCTCTGCTCCGTCTTTCCTCGGGGGCTTGTGGGAAAAGCTGACAGGGTGGATTAGGTGGCTGTCCTCTCTGGTGAGAAGGGAGTCGCTGCTGGGGTCACTGGTCGGCCTGTTCGTGGGAGGGACGTATGGAGGTATGGTTGGTGCCACTGTGGGGTCTGTGGCTACTGAAGTGGGGCGAAGAAAAACAGAGAAAACTAAATGAGAAGCAATCTCATCTTTAAGTTGCACCTTAAAGTCACTCTACAGTGTTCCACAAACCATTACTGGGCTGTGGGCTTACCCACTAACACAAAATAGCATGTTTCCCTGATTACAAATAATGCTTTATAGATCACTTTTAACCCGTAAATAAGGACAATTTAGGGTTTGCTGGATTTGAAAAATCTTTTGGCTGGTATGTTCTCACATGTAACTGCCGCTGTCTTTTTTGCTAGCTTAGTATTCAATATTGTCGGCATGACTCAGATCTTTACCTCTTTCTGTACTTCAAGTACATGAAGACGCCATCTCGTCTGTAAACAAACCGCTGAGTGGTAGCGAAAACTTGTCTTCCATGCAAACTGTGGGAGACTGCAGCAGTTTGCTGTAACCAAAGTAATCAGAGGTTTCCAGTGGAGCACTGGACACACTTTATTTCAACTAGTGATAGCACGCAACCTTCTGCAACCACTTGCCAATTGATCAGGGAATGCACATTTTTTCCTAAAGACCGTTAGTTATCAGCTGGTTGTGGAGGCCTCTGTGACTGGGACCTAACAGAGCATCCGAGATGTCCTGATGAATGCAGCTTTCTAACCAAGCTTGCTAGCAGAGTTATTTTTTTCACGTTGGCAAATAGTTGGTTCTAGACACAGTGAAAAGACACATAATAAAATTTATTTGGGGGGTGGCTGGTTCTGTCCAACTTGCCTTTCCTTTTAGCTCTATTTTTGATCTCCATCAGCTTCTGAGGAAAATGTCAAACTTTTAAGCTGCTGTGTTCACAAGCTAGTTTCTGACTTTGCTGTGTTTGTTTGTGTTTTCCCCTCCCTTTTCCCTCCCTTCCTCTGTCAATGAAAAAATTCAGCGAAAACGTAAAAATCAACAAGCTTAAAGAAGTTGACACAGAGTGCAGAGCTAGCGCTACACTAGCTCGTCAAACTAACTGCATCTAAACCCATTACTGTGAAAATTTTGAATATCCTTTTAACTTTCCTATAAAAAGGATATCATACAACAGCCAAATCGATTATTCATAACCTTGCAAGCAGCTCGTCCTTATGAGTGGACTATTACTGATCTCTAAAGAAATTATTTATCATTAAGTAACAACTCCTGAACCTGTTTTATGCTTTTTAGAGAGGGCACAGGGAAGGCTTGAAACACTTTTGTTAGGAGGCAATACCAAGAAGAATCCACAAGGTGGTGACATTGACCTTTATATAGAAGTTTGAAGTTTTCTGAGGTGAACTGAAAGATAATCATTTACTGCCTACCAAGCAAATAAAAGCTGCTGTTTTAAGTACACTCCAGTGTGATTTTTTTAATCTGAAGTGACTGTTCTTCACAGGGATGATTAAGCTGTGGTTACTTGTAGTATGTATGTGTTCTCTCGAGATGCTTTTCCACAATGGCTTCTACCATACTGCAGATTAAAATGAATGGATATAGATAGCTGTGGTGCGAGGAACTAAAGCCCAGGGTTCACGCTGGAGCAGATGAGTCTCTCAGACTCTCTCAGCAGCACACAATGGCAGGTTGTGGCTTTGACACGGCAGTAATTGACACTCTTGCTTAAACCGTCCGTCATGGCCCGTCCTTACATCTGTCGTGTTCGCTGTTGCCTCTTGGTCTCTCTAAGCTGCCGGCGGCTCTGCTTCAGGAGCAGCTAGGCGTTTCCGAATGTGGGTGGTCCGGCCAGGGTGGGAGGGAGAGAGCAAGGCAGGGAGAAAAAGGGAGAGAGAGAGAGAATTAGCCCGGCTCTCATGTTTCCCAAAAAGAGAAGAGAGGGAGGGAAGGACAGGAGAAAGAGAGAGTGAGTGAGAAGCAGTGAGAGAGAGAGCAAGAGTCAAAGGGAGAGAACAAGCTCTGGGACTACATCTGTCTTCCAGATGTGGCCTCCTCTTGTCTGAAACGGGGAGGAAAAAAAGGTTTTAAAAGTACAGGAAAATTAGTGCTAAACAGTTTTTTATTGTTAGGGATTACACATACAGTACAGACTACAGCATACAGCACCAACTTCAGAACCCACTCACCAGGATATGCTTCTTTCCCCCCTGCTTTATGAAACTGCACGCTAGACTCCTTCAAGTTAATGTATATGAAAGAACACCTGTCCAAATATTATTCAGTCTTAGTGGATACACACCACGGATAAGGCAGAGAGCGCGGAGACGGAGTTGGAAGTCTGGAGAAAAATTAATGAGAATTTTTTGGGAGTGTAATTATTATTATTATTTTTCTTTTTTTTTTCCAGAAGGATGTGGCGTACATAAGTATGTCAGTTCAGTAGCACTAATCAAGACCAGTTCCATAGCTTGTGACGGCGGCCAGTATTAACTCTGGAGGATGAGACCTCACTGGGACAGAGAGGGGAGCTGATTTGTGCCTGTATGAAAAAGCAAAAAGCCCCCAAAAAACAAGCAAAACATGTGAGGGGAATCAGCAGCGAGCCGTCATTAACTCACAGGCGGTAACTTCTCTGCTCCTCTCCCTCACGGCAAAAATGTTGCTGCGAGGGCCCTGCGGTCCCCCGTCGGATCCAGTCTGGTGGTGGTAATGGTGGTGGTGGTGGTGGGGGAGGGCAGTCCGCTGTGAAGACACGGACGCCCGCAATATTTTTTTGTTATCATCGCGCCCCATGGCCTGGAAAAAGACAGCAAACCAAAGGAAAATAAACAAGATGACACACTCTTTCCCCTCACAGCACAAGGCCGTCCTTCTTCTTCTTCTTCTTTTTTTTACAGGAACAGCGCACGACCATTATGGCAAGTGGTTAAACATGTTTAAAATTTTATTTAGTTTTTTTCATTTACAAATAAATATGACTGTTTGCCAGATTGTAACTGGAAGAATTTGTGGGTAAATCAAACATTCTAAATATATTTGACAAAAAAGCAAAAATAATTTAAGGTAATTTAGCTCTAATAGCTGGAAAGAAATAAAGTAGTACAGCAAAAATTATAATAATATAACGTTCGGATAAAATAATCACACGAGCTCACAGAGGCTGTAAATCAGCTGAGTGCTTTTTAACCCACCAATCTTTTTCCTTTTCCTTTTTTTTTTAAACAGTGTGACCTCAGGAACTATCTTTCTATCTGAGGGCTGTTTTTGTGTGCCGGCATGCAGGGCTGAGGCAGCGAGCGGTGTCCGACTGCCGGCTCGCTCTCCTCCTTCTCTCTGGGTGTGCTCGCTGTGAGCCCTCTCATCTTTTTCCCATTAGTGCTGTTTTCATGTTCCTTCCTAGCGTGAGCATGTGTGGCTGCGATTGTTTACCAAGCAGTGCTCGCCCCGTCCGACTGTGCGTCTGTGTCTGTGTGTGTCCAGCGGGGAGTATTCGACAGCGGGTCCAGACTATGATAGGAAATAATCATTAAACAAAGAAGAAGAAGTTATGTGATGCTTCATTTAATTATTTCTACATTTTAAAATGTAATTACTGCAGTGTTAGAAATTTATTTTAAAGTGTTTAAATATGAAATGTAAAATTTTAAACAGTGGGTCCAGACTTTTTATTTTTCTTATGTTAGCTTTAAAATTCACCAGATGTGTTTTTTGACTGATTTCTAACATTTTACATATTTTCCAAATGCTTCTTTTTAAAAAATCATTTAGTCACATTTGTATTTAAACCATTTAAGCAGTGATTTATTACTTTTTACAAACTCTTACAAACTTAGTATTTTGTAGGTAGCTACAGTGAGCCGTCTGACACTATACTCATCAGGTATGTAATCTATTATCAAAGTCTTCCCACTCGGCCCTGCCTGTGGGTACATTTATGGGGAGCTATTTTTGAGTATTACCTAAATTAATTCAAATTTAAACGGTCAGAGCAGACTTAAAACATTTCATGTGATCATTCAGCTGTCAAAAGTGCCTAAAGTGGTTGATCATTGTCTCTCAAAAATAAGGTTTAAAAAGGATTTCTCAAAGTTTTTTAAACTCTCTGAGTACCATGTCTTTCTGCTATTACAGACTGCTCTACTAACTGCAGTACATGAATATAGGCATTACAAAAAATCTCAAATATGGCTTATAAACATTTTTTTAAACTAGTTGAAATTTTATATCCATTAGCTACGGGATCATTTTTGAAATTTTGAAATGCATGAATTAAGGCTGTGCACTTAAATATTAGAGAACCTTAATGAATGTCAATTAGTAACACTTTATACTAAAAAAACTGCTTTGAAAACCAAAAAAGAAGAAATTAAAATGGCAGAAATAACATGGAAGACAAAGATGAGCTATTAAAAAGAGCATGGATGTCCTTTCTCCTAAATTTGAAACACTGCTGAAAATAGAAAAGACAGATGAAGTGGAAACTCAGAAATAGAGGCAGTGCAGCTGACACGAAGCAGCTCCCATCCATGATCTGACCATAAAGGGCCTCCAGCGCACAGAACAAGGTGTCAGGACAGACAGGAAGAAGAAGCAGAAGAAGAAGGAAAGGAAAAAAAACTACAACAAGAAAGAAGCCCCCCAGATGACATGAATACAAAATCACACACAGCTGCTGAGGTTAGGGCTCTGATGGACACACACACACGCATGAATGCACGCCGAAGCTTCTGCACGTGTACGAGCAGCTGACTCGAGCGGGAGGACAGCTCGGCGAATCGGCCGGAACGAGAGCCACCCCTCGTCCCCTCCGGCCTGACCCGAGCCTCTTCGCCCACACCCCCCTCCAGATGTGACAGAGGAAGATGTCCTGTGCGGACAGCGACTGGAGACGGGAGAAAGAGGAAAAGGGCTGAGACTCGGATGTGCGGTCTGGTTCAGGTTTGTACGCCCCGCCGGCATCCGTCTGTTAAAAGAGAACTTCCCAATATGGTCGCCACATTTGAGTCATTTATTTTCACTCGTACAACCTTAACATACGTTCCGACACTTGGATGCCAAAAAGGCACTGGGGCTTAACTAATACCCCGTGGCAACATGTCAGAATCGGATGACGATAAATGAGTTCCAGTTTGACTCAGTTCGCTTGCCAAGGGACAGATAAACAGCTAGTAGGAGGGTAAGGTCACGGGCTCGTGTGTCTTACAGGCGTGCGGATAAGCCTACTGTTGGGACGCTTCAAAGGGAATCTATGGCATGACGGGAATGGTGCAAAAAGGATGACAATCAGAATGAGAAAAGGGGTGAAGTGAGCTATTAAAGCGCACTGCAGGAGGCCACGTTTGCAGGAGGATGAGCTTTAGGGAGCGAAACATCGCGGGATGAAAGAAGCAGAAAAGCCTGAGCTCTGTTGGTGTGACAGCTCTGAGGAGTTAGCGGCCTCACGCTGCACTTCCTGCAGCAGATGGGCTTTGAGGATTGCAGGAGGGGTTGGAGGGGGGCTTCAGTCAGAGAAGAAGACAACTCACTACGCGGAGCTGCGGTGCGGGTGTTAGATGGCCCCTGAGCGTCACCATAATTGATGGATAGTGTGGTCCACATTAAGTGACATGCGCCGTTGGCTGTAAGTGGGTGCGATGATTGGGGGCCTTTTTGAAGCTGGGGCCGCGGGCTGTGTTTGAACCGTCAACAGAGACCCCTATTCTCTGTAAAGGACACCAGCCTGTGGTTTGGTCGCAGCCTCGGCACAGGCCATGCACACTCACACACACACACACACATTATCCTTCAGTAGTATTATTGGGTTCTGGGGGAGGTGACTGTATTATTCCTGCTGCAACACTGACTTAATTCAAGGCAGATCTGACCCCGGCTCGTTCTCCTCCACTTCTGCTCTATTGGATCAAGTCTTAATCCTGCCTCCACCACATGAATGGGAGACGCAAAGAGGAGCTGCACTCGCTCCTGCCACGTACATCAAATGTCACTCAGGTCCATATGCTGTCATGCAGCTTATGATGGGTATCGGCGTGTCATATGAAAGCTAGAGGAGCTTAATGGAGGCCTAGAAAGACCAGAGCTGGAGACAGATACTCTGGGAGATTGGAGCCACAGCTCGCATTGATACAATGCGTCGTCCAAACCTGGATTTGATCTTCTGTGGCCTCGGTTGGTTTTTTTGTTGGGTTTTTTTGCAGATGCATACAAGCCTGACACATCCTCTGCCAGGAAAAAGCCAGGGGAGCTGGCCCGTGATAACACTTCAGAGTCGAGGCGCACAAAACAATCTCTAAATAGGAGCGTCTCAGGAGGCACTTTACAGTAAGCTATGACTAACAAACCCAAAGCACCTCAAAACAACGCTGGGAAAGATCCAGCTTCCGTCGAGGCAACACGAGCTCCCGCTTCTCAGCCAAACACATAATAACTCCTGCTCAAGGGCCCGTTTATTGTCATATC